AGAGGAGAGGAGAGGAGAGGAGAGGAGAGGAGAGGAGAGGAGAGGAGAGGGATCAAAACTTATGCTTATTCCCTTGGCAGAAGTCTAGGAGAATCCCTTCAGGTACATCACAGTCAGCGAATACCCTCTGCCTGTCCCCCACACCACAAATTGGTCAGTATATGTATTTTCACAAGGTCCCCTATCCCATTTCCAGTTTGACAGTCAGTGGAGCTTAGGGTTGTGAGCTGCACTAGAAAAATTTAAGTCAGTATATGCAGAGTGTTAAATCAATTATACCATTCTGAGCAGTGGTAGAAGGGAAGCTCTTTCCTATGTCAGCTGGCCGGCACCTTGAATGCTTGTTTTTATTTGTGGCCTCACCACAGAATTGTTGTGTGTTCCTGAGTAAGCCAGTTCATCACTCTACCTCCAAGTCTTTCAGCTGTAAAATGCGATGTGGCCTCCTCACCACAAGACTTAATTAGGGCCCAGCAACACTTTGGTTAGAGTCAATGGCAAAAGAGGCTTTTGACCTCACTGAGGTTAATATTAGGATCTTCGTATCTGTAAGGCACTTTAAGAAACTCAAATGAAAGGCGAAGTAATGTAATAAGGAACAACAACAATAACAACAAAAAATCACTAAATGACGAGCTTGCTGAGTTTGCATTGCGCATGGCCCGTCTGTAGATGCAGCACAATATAAAGAAGTAATTACTTAACTTTTTCAAAATGGGGCTGTAGTGGGAAAAATAAATGCTAGGGAAATCTGCTTTTTATACACAAAATATGTACCAGTAGCAACTTTATGATCATTTTGTTACAGCTCTTAAAATGAGCCTGTGCACTAGGCTTCCACCTGGTTCCTGTTCTTTTTTTCGCTTATTTTGCATGCACATATTAAATACCTTTCTGCAAACAGGCAAAATGCTAACCTAACACTAGGAGCTTCTCACTGGTTTAGGGAGAACTGGGGTCTGCTAACCAGGACCAGAGCAAAGTCCATTGTTTCATAAATACCGTCAGGGACTCAGCAACCATGCAGGAAAAATATCGATGTATTTGCAGCCTTATGGGGTTTCATTCTTTTCTCAATTTCGCCTTACCTGCAATCTTTCAGTTGCCAATCTCCAAAAAGCTTGGTTAATCAACAACTGGAAGTAAATTAATAACTAGATGCACCCAAACCAGAAAAGCAGATTGAACTCGGAGGAAATTTTAATTTTAAGTGTATGTCTTGGACTGTTACCAGAAGCCCTTTAGAATGTCATTGTTCTTTGGGGGAAATTTGGATGTGGACAAAAAGACCATTAATAAAGGCTGTCAAAACATCTGTTAAAAATCTGCAAGTTACAAAATATGCATTAAAAAGATAATTAAATATGGATGGTACGATTTAAAGGTCTTCATTTTATAGTTTGTGGAAATCTTCATGGGGTAGGCTTAGGCCAGGTATACCACTGGAATTTTTAAGTTAAAAAAGGAGAAACAAAGACAAACCATTCCCTCCACTCCCCTCTCCCTTCCCCAGTTTCTAGTTAGAGTGTACAGGAACAAGTAGTTTTTCCTCTCTGGAGAGCAGAGGAGGAAAATGGCAGTTGTGAGCGAGAAAAAAAGCACATTGCTGCTCAGCTCAACTACGCGGAATGCAGAAGACCTCTGCCCTTCTCTCCTTTCTAGGGGAACTGCCTCCTCCTCTTCGAGACCCAGTGTGTGCCTGCTCCTTTCCAACTATTCCTACCTGGAAAATAAGAACGTAATTTCCATCCTTTTTTCTTAGCTGAAGGAGTTTTTAGCTCTGCCGGCTGGGACATCTGCCCTGGGCTGACTCTGTGCACCTGTGCTGGGTGCTGGAGCAGTGCTGGAGCCATGGCCCTCCCCGCTCCTCCCGGGGGACTTACACTCTGCTGCAGGTAGCTTAACCCTTGGGCAAACCACCCACAAATGGCTTTGCATGTGAATATTCATGAGCATTTGAACCAATTTCTTGACTAAGGACACCCCACCACTTTGAGATGTAATCCCCCAAAAGGCTACTTGAAATAAAATTGGCTAGGGTAGGTATCCCCCCATCTCCTTGCTGTTGGTTTTTTGAGTTTCTGGGAATGTATTTTTCCTTTCTGAATTTTTATTTTGTGGGCTTAACGTTTAGGACTGCTGTCTGAAAACCCAGGCTTGGCTTACTGACAGCATAGGTCCGATTGTGTGTTAGGGATTATTTCTATGCCTGTACGTGTTACGAAGTCCCTGAACTGTACAGAGATTTTGGGCAGGAGGTCCTTGTGAGGGACCAGCCCAGCTGGCATTATAAAGGAAACGGTGCAGTGCATTTCAGGCAAAATAGATACAACACAGGGTGTACTTAAAATGGAGGTAATTCATACAGTTCATTTCTTGTTCTGATTGACAATATGTTGGGAAGATTGTGGCCTGCAAACTCACCAAGCTAACATCGTATCAAGCAGAAGGGGGAAACGTCCAAACTGAATGCTCTTTAAGTAAATCTGATTTCTAACCCGACTGCAGCCCAGAAAGGACCAGATGGGGTCATCATTCCCAATAACTACTGTGACTTCTGCCTTGGAGGCTCCAATATGAACAAAAAAAGTGGCCGGCCTGAGGAACTTGTATCGTGCTCAGACTGTGGGCGCTCTGGTAGGTGATTCCTTCTTGCATCTTTCTCGTGCAAAGGCATTTGTGTGATTTGTTTTGAAGAATGGCAGTGCATTTGGGAGGGGATAGAAGATGAAGTCTTACTTCTTGTCTATGTTTGTGGGAAAGGATGACTGGGAAATTTTCTGTCATAAAACCCGTTGTTGGATTCACATTTTTAAGCTAATGGGTCTTATGAAATAATAAAGTTTGAATGTATTTATTGGCTTCTGTGAACATTGGTACATGTTCTTCAAATGGAAGGAGAAAATCCTATGACAATGTTAATGTCTTCAAATGCTGCAATTACAACTATAAATTACTTACAAGATTTATGAAAGTTGCATGACAAGCATTTCCATTGATTACACATTTCATGCATTTCTTCATCCAAAAAAGAAAGAGGGAGGAAATTACAGGGTAGGGATGGGGGTAGCTGTCAAGAATTATCCTCTTACAAGATGACTATCATTAATTTTGTTTAAAGAGGTTTTTATTTCTCCTTTTTCTTCCCTTCTCTCTTTTTAAATGTAGGCAATTGTGTCTTTCCCATTCTGAGTTGTCTTTATTTCTGGACTGTTGTTTTCTTCTTTTCTTTTTTTTTATTTTTTCTTTTTTTTTTTCCTCTTTTTCTGGGAAATTTTATCCCAGCTGAGCAGTTATTTATAGCTCACATGGGAGGTGGTGGCGGTGGTAGAGGGAATGAGAGACCTTTAAGAACTGCATATTCCAGCTTTGATCCAAGTTTCCAGTTGTGATATTTGTGAACAGTGGTGATACTAGTAGTGATAAGACCATCATATGGAAATCTGAAAACCAAAGAGACTTTGAAATTCAGTATTGCTGCTGCTCCTTCTGTACTGTAGTCACTGAAAGACGTCTGTTGCGTGATGGCTGAAATGCAATGTGGAGTGTTCTCATGCCAAGGGAATGGCCTTTTTATGCTCCTGCTGAAATTCATAGTAAGCCTCTTACCACGTTCAGTGGGTGCAGAACTAGACTCTCACTGACAAATTGCCTTCTGCACTTGTTGTGACCTCTGAAGATACTCTGAAGTGATACTGACTGGTCACCAGTCAACAGATGGCATCCCCTTTGGCTTTCTCCAGGGGTGTCCTGATGAATGCTGTATAGTCAGGGGCATGGACCTTTTAGTCTATACGCGTTTGCTTCTTAATAACTGAAGGGGGAAGCTCTTGGGGTCTGTGGTGCCATCTTGGAAGATCATTACCCTTCCCCTTGATTGTTATAGTTCAATATAACTAATTTCAGCATTGTCCTGTTACAGCACAATGAGACAAATCCATATTTTTTTGCTATTTAAACATTGCTATGGTGATTATATCAGAATATAACACAAATACATTAATTTCCTTGATTCCTTAGTGTGATAGAACAAGTAGATCATCATGTAACCTAAATTGTGCAAAATCAGTTCCATTAAATGCTATCCTTGTAAAAATACTGACCCACCTGGGTCATTCATAGGGGTATGCAATGCTGTGACTGATGTGTGATGAAAGCGATTAAGGTACAACCACACACTAATCTCTAAACTAAAACAATGAAACCTCTTTGGTGTCTGCCATCTTTCTCTTTCTTGATAATGGAGAACATTTTCATTATACTGAAAGAGAGGTCATGGAAATTATATTGTTCACAAAGTCAGTAAAATCACATCTCTACAAGGTGGTTTATCTGCCAATTATTTTGTTATATCCATTTTCTTTTTGTGAACAGGATTTAATTCTTCGTGTCTCAAGCAATGCAGTGTACTTGTTATATGGCTGATTCCTGTAGCTGGAGCGGGGACCAAACGGTTACTTAATACCATGCTACTGTTTCTGAATAATAAAATAGCCTTTCCCTAAAATCTCACACTTTCATTTTGCTAGGGCACAAGAGACATCTTTTTCTCTACCTTCCTGAAGAGGAATTTTGAAGTCTATACTATTAATCACATAACATGTTTGATTGAGGGAGAAAACAAACCTCAGTTTTGCAGATTTCAGTATCTGACATCTCTTTTTTAAGAGTCTTCTTTTTGTTGTTGTTGTGGTTGTTGCTGCTGCTATTGATGTCCTGTGTGGAGAATTTCCTGTTCCATATTGAAAGTTGGATTGACTCACACCCATTTTAACTTTTTAGGGTTCCCCAAGACAGGTCACCTCTCATCTTAGTTGTTTTAGTTGTTGAACTGTATATATTTGTTTTGGGGTTTTTTATTTTTGAAGGAGATGCCATGAAATTGGAATAAAAGCATTTGTTTAGGTTACTTTCACTTAGTCTTCAAAATGTATTTCATTTTGCCTACAGAGGAAACTCTTTGGGATCAGGTGAAAGACAGGGATAAAAAGTAATCCTGAGGTTGATGAGCTATCTGCTGGGTTATATCTCTATAGCAGTATATTTGTGACAGTTGATGCCAGTCTGAAGGACAGTCATGTGCTTAGAGCTAACGGTGTCTAATTACTGATACGGTCTAAAAATCTTTTAAATTTGATCTAAGTAATCGTGAGGAAATATTTTAATGTCTTTTGAAGAGAGGAAAACATGATTAACCCTTTCGCTGCCATAGCTATGGGCACCTGTGTTGTTTGTAGGGTTTTTTTTCTTTGAAAAAGAAACTGATCCTTTTTTATTTTTCTTACTGCAGTTCTACCGAGCTATGTGGTTGAGGTGCGCGGGCACGTACAAGCACACACCTATGAGCTCGATAGTCTGAATTGTTTAATAATAATGATGATTTTTAAAATTATGATGATGATGCCTGTTGCTTAACCCATGTGCTGATATATTCATCATACATGTCAGCTCATTTGGGAAGAGAAGGCAGGAGGGACGAAGCAGCGCCAGCACGCACTACGGAGGACTTGTTCGGTTCCACGTCAGAAAGCGACACCTCGACCTTTCATGGCTTTGACGAGGATGATGCGGAAGAGCCTCTCTCGAGCCGAGGAGGTGGCTGTGGTGGCAGCTCTCCCTCTGCAGACAAAAAGGGTGGCTGCTAAAATAACTAAAAAGACACACAAACTCTGAGCGATTTGCTGTCCTTTTTACTACTAGGATTATTATTACCTTTTTCTTTTTTAAATTTTAGGTCCTTGGGCTTTTGGTTTTTTTGGTTCTTAATTTTGTTATTGTTTTTCCTGTGGGGTGTACACTGAAAGCACAAGTGTTTAAAGCTCTTGAGAACTACTTTGAAGAGACAGAAGGTTTTGGTTTTCCTGTTATTTTTTCCATTTTAATTTGTTTTTCTCCCACCTCCCCCCCTTCTCTTTCTCTCTGGAAACAGAAAAGGTGGATTTAATATTTTTTTTAATAGTGAGCAGAGTTGATTTTCTTGTCTTTTAATATATATATCAGCAAACCACGAAAAATACAGATGGGTTGGAGAGCAGAAAGCAAACCCAAATAGGTTTTTTTAATTATTATTATTTATATATTCTATATATTATTAGAAAAACTACTTTTTAAATAAAAATAGAAAAAAACAAAAAACAAAAAAGCAATGGATGTCTACTTGATAATAGAACTATTTCTAGAGAACCACTGTGGGCGGACTCTATCAGAGGATGAGGAAACCCTTGATGTGATGGCTTCTGCGTTTTGAGATTTTGCACTTACTGTAGCATGTGGAGTTTGGCTCTTCTTGTACACCTGCTACGCTTGTCTTTAACAGCCTGAAAATACAAGCAGCACCATTGAAGACCATGACCTTGGGGAACACATTTCCATCCCTCCTTTGGATACCTTTATACTCAATAGATCTCTTCCTCCCTGCACCCCTTCATGTCTTCCTTACTCCGTTCTACTTTTTTTTTTTTCTTCTTTTCCTTCACCTTTCACTTCATGGACAGCGATTTCCAAGCATAGGGATGGAATATGAATGGCAAGTCGTAGACGTCAAAGACAAAACAGATGGAGGAGCAGAATCATGGAAGAAATGATATGGAAAAATACCTCACCTATACTTTTCTTTCCATTTTTAAATTTTAATTCACAGCATTTTTTCCTGTGTCGCCCAGTTTTTTTCTCTCTGTAGTGTCTTGTGAGACACTTTGTTTGCTTTTCAATAGCTTCTCTTGAAATAAACCAAAGCAATACTCATTAAAGTTCCAAGGGCAATGGAGAAGAGAGTGACTCCCTTCCCAGCGACTTTCCCAGAAAGGAGGAAACATGCAGCAGGATTTGAAAGGTATGTCCGAGCTGAAATATCTTTCACTGAATTGTGAAATCTCTGTGCCCTGGATTTTCAACAGACCCTTGACTGAGCTTTGTTGTAGGAGTAAGTCCTGTGGATTAAATTGTGTTATGAGTATGCGCCACATTCACACCCCTGGTGAAGCTAATGGAAGTTCTGTGGGAGGAGGATCCAGCCTTGTGTACAGTCAGAAGTGATTCAAAAGGTGACAGTGTGTAGGAGACCTTTTGCTGTCCTAATGCAGGCAAAAATTTCCCTGGAGCGGGGCCAAGGTTAGGTTCTGAGGATATGTTTTTGCTGACGCGTATAATGCCAAACAGGGTGAAATCATGATCTCCTTTAAATCAGAGGCAAAATAGACATTTATCTGGACAGAGCCTAATCCTTAAACTGGAGGTGTGTGGTTTTGATACCAGAATGAGAATCTCAGCCTTGCAATGAAGACTGGATATATACATTGTTCTAATGCATGAATGAAGCCTATCCAAATGGATTCTGTTTCTCCTGTTTATTTTGCTGGGCTAGCACAATACTGTCTGTGAGAACTCTTTCAACCTTTTTTTTCCCCCCACTATAAACCTTCAAAAAAAAGGGAAAGCATCTGGCCTCTAATTTTTTTTTTAATTTATCTTTCACTTTAGACATGGAATTAGTGGTGGCCAGATTCTGCTTTTAGGTACATGGGCATAAATCCAGAATACATGCTAACTGGTGTCTAGATTACATTAATGTAATGTAATGTAATCAGAATGGTGTTACAAAACACAAAATTACAAAAATGTGTGTTTATACCATAGGA